CTTAGAGAGGGCTGAAAGCCCTATGAAGCGGTATATAAGTCTTAATTGCTATTGCTTTTGCTATAGATATAGTCTTTGACTTACAATAGTTTTAGTGTCCGTTCGAAGGTGTAACACAATTTTTTAAAAAGTGATTTATGAACCACGTTATCCCAAGGGTTGCCGCTATTTCCATGGCCATGTGATCAAACGCCGGACCCTTGGCGACTGACTCATTATTTATGACGGGGTGGGTTCTGTCCTAACTTCCAGCAGTCCTTCATAAGTCAAGAACTCTCTGCAAAAATGAGTTTGCACTCAGCACTCAGCAAAAGTAATAATGAATATATCCAACAGTGGAGAAAAAGAGACAACGGGCCTCTTTCACAAACACCTCCGTGGGCTGCAAATTATTTTCCTCTGATTTTATTTATATTTATACACACATGCACTCTCTCTCTCTCTCTTTCCACGCACATGGAGAGAGAGAGAGAGAGTGCTGGTTCCCATGGCCACTGCGTGAAACGTTCTGGCAAGCAAGCCCAGGTTGCCGTAGCAACATTCCTGAAAGGAAGGATAAGAAGGGGGGGGGGGGACCAGCTGAAAACTCCCTTGGAAAGAGAAATCCATTCCTTCCTTTCTATTTTTCTTCCCATTTCGCCACTTAAAAAAAAAAAAAAACCATTCCAGATTTTGGAATTTTCGGCTTTGAGCTCTCAGGAGCTCAAAATCTGATTTGGCTCGTGGCTTCGACCCGTTCACTATGAGTCAAAGAATAGAAGAGAGTAGAGCAGAGCAGAGAAGAGTAGGGAAAGAAGGAAGGAGAATAGAACAGAACAGAATGTAAAAAGAAGAGAAGAAAATAGAATAGAATAGCCTAATGGAATGGAATAGAATAGAGCAGAACAATAGAATGTAAAAAGAATAAAATAGAACAGTACAGAATAGAATGTAAAAAGAATAGAAGAAAATAGAATAGCATAATGGAAAGGAATGGAATAGAACAATAGAATGTAAAAAGAATAGAATAGAATAGAATAGAACAGAATATAATTTAAAAAGAATAGAATAGAATAGAACAGAATAGAATGTAAAAAGAATAGAAGAGAAGAAAATAGCATAATGGAATGGAATAGAACAGAACAATAGAATGTAAACAGAATAGAACAGAATAGAATGTAAAAAAGAATAGAAGAAAGAATAGCATAATGGAATGGAATAGAATAGAATAGAACAATAGAATGTAAAAAGAATAGAATAGAACAGAATGTAAAAAGAATAGAATAGAGTAGAACAGAATTCTTCATTGGCCAAGTGTGATTGGACACACAAGGAATTTGTCTTTGGTGCAGATGCTGTCACTGTACATAAAAAGACAACATACATTTGTCACAAATTATAAGGTATAGCACTTAATGATAGTCATAGGGTACAAATAAGCAATCAAATCATACAAGGAAATAATCAGTATAAATCGTAAGGATACAAGCAACGAAGTTAGTCATATCGTCATAAGTGGGAGGAGATGGGTGTTATGAACGATGAGA